GAAGAGGAAGAGGAAGAGGAAGGGGAAGAGGACGGGGAAGATGTACTGTAGATGAAGAACAAGAAGGACATGGTTGTGTTTGCAACTATCGCCCTATCGCCACTAAGCATTTTTTGTTTTGGTATATGTGCAAGTTTCCCCTTTCCTCGAGTTAGAATAGGGGGTCTCCCTGTTCTGAGATGACAAGGCCAGACGGTCACACCAAAATTACGACACTAGGTCCTCTAGTTGATCGCTTTTATAGTTAGTTGGTTAGTTTGTTTGGGTTGATATCAGTGCTTTCCTTCACGATGTTACATGAAAAATATGCCACAGGGTGCCCGAACCTCAAAGGCTGCAGATTTTTCCTATTGACGTGTCACCATGGTGCTTCTGGCTCACTTTTGGGGAGATTTGCCTCCATTGCGGGGCTCAAGGCGTGCCATGATCCAGAGGCACACGACTCTGACCCTGCCTCCACATCCTCATCCGCAGGTCACGAACTCCAAAGTTGAGGGCGGGGGCCTGAGATCTGTTGATCTAGGAGGATGTGTTGATTGAATTGAGTGATGTCGATGTGTGTGGTCGTGACAAGAAGTGCGGTTGATCGCAATTGGGCAGCCAGTTGGTTGTGTGACTTTTTGGCTTTTGCAACAAGAGAATTCTCCCCACTGTTTCCAGGTGTGATTTGCGATGGCAAGCCTCAACTGCCAGTCGCTGCTGCCAAGAATTCCAGGCTTTCAATGTTTGATGCGGCAAGGTTGCTGGCAGTTTGGGATGCAAGTGTGGAGTGGGGAAGGCATTGACCTCGGAGAAATGAGAATCTGAAATCTGATTTGAAGTCTCCCTCCACCTGCCTATATTCGTTCGGATGTGAACTCCATAAGTTTCAGGCATTCCTGGAATCCACACTTCTCCGGTCTTTTCTTGGCCAGCCGGGAACTCCATAAAGAGGACATGGCTTCGGACCCTTGTGTGGGCACTTCACCGCCCCCAACACGGATGTGAGTCGTCCCAGTGGTGCATGTTCCACACTTCTTTCCACCTCCCAGTGGGTGGTTTGGTGAAACACTTCCCCCTCCGTCCGCCCTCACCGGAGACCTCCCCCCGTCTGCCCCTCCGGAGGAGTCAGAATAGCCGTGCCCAGCGCCGTCGCGCCGCCACCGATTGTGCCACGCAGGAGGACGATCGTCGTCCGCTCCTCTCGGGTCGTTTCGTGTCGTCTCCTCTCAGATGTCCTAAAGGAGCTGGGTCAGATGTCCTAAACCTGCGCAGGATCAGTGCCATCCCAGAAAGATTTTCATTGGCGGCCTGGCCCACAAGTCGGACACCCAGTGATGTCATCCTTGAAGCTCTTCTGGGAGCGACTCAGTGCCTTGGGACCTATCGACCCATCGTGGTGCCGCTGTCAGGACGACCACGCAGCACCTTCGCGACTACTTTGCATTCCTGCCACGCTTGGCGGGGGAAAAAAGAAACGGCCGAAAACTGCAGCCCCCTGTCCTTTCGAGTTCTGGTCCTGTCATCGCTACAGTGGTGACGTGGTGGCGCCGTGGTGAAGCGTGCCAGGTGAAATATGGAGGGATCGTCGATGCCGTGGTCCTGCCCGACTCTCGGGTGAACGCCGCCACTGTTCGTTTTCTGCCCCCGTTCCGCCGGTGCTTTTCAGGCGATGGCCGGATGGACGCTCGCGTGGCTTCGGCTACGTGACCTTCTCGGAGGAGCGTGGGACGGAGTTGGATCGAAAATGGGAGAGCTCAGAAGGGCCTTGTTTTGGAACGGAAAAGGAGGTGTGACAAGGTGTGTTTTGGGCTCTTGAAGATCTAAATGATCCAACATGAGGAACAAGTTGGCACCAATTTACGGTTGATCAGTTTCGAGTTTAGATGGCCGTGGCCATCTCGAGACAGTGCCCCTCACCGGCAAGGCCCAGGGTGCCCAAGGAGCTCTGAATGATGCTCATCAGGCGTGTTCTCCACAGAGATGGAGTAGCGAAAACTCCGCCTGAATGGTTCAGGGAGTGAAGCTTGCATAGTGGGACTTTACAGGTTGTTTGCTCTTTATGAAACGAATAGACAGGTGAGCTGTGCCGTCTGTGTCAAAGAAACAAATACCGCAAATGGTGGCGAGCGAAACAGTGTCGAAGACGTTTGTGCTTGATGAATTGCTGAATCTTGTTCTGTCAGATTGGTGGCAGACAAGTTGATGTCAAAAGGGCAGTGTGCGCCTGCCCTGATTGGTGATCTGAGACCACAGCTGAAAAGGAACCACAGGCTTGCCGCATGCTCTCTTGCGGCCGCGGTTCCGACCTGTTCTGCGGAGCGGAGCCAGGCCTGGGACCAATAAGCTCTTCGTCGGTGGCTTGCCACAAAACACCACGGCGGCAGAGCTCCGAGAGCATTTCGAGGCCGAAATGTGCCGGTGTTTGCGAGCAAAGGATAGGTGAGGCATGGCCTGTTGGGGCCATGGATAGGGGGTTTTGTTTTGGGGCTCCATTCTGTTGGGGAGGTGATTCCCTCAGCTATTTTGAGCAAAATTCACAGGCCGGTTCAATTGAACCTGAGATAAGAACCTTGCCTGTTTTTGCTATTTCTTGCTTCTTTGCTCTTTGAGGGTGCAACGGAACCATGGCCCCAAACTGATGAATGTTTGGGTCGGCAGAGCGATAACAAGACGACGACCAAAGCTATCTTGAGAACCTTACTTATGAGCACCTGGCCACTTTGAACTCACCATGATAATCATGATAGTGTGTTTGCAGTGAGACTTGCAGAAAAGTGAGCCTGAACTTGCAGGTCGACAGTCATGTTACGTTGCGACTGAATCTACACATTCTGCCAGGCATTCGGTACTGTCTCGGATGCAGTGGTCATGTCGCGCTGGCCATGTTGATGCTCGAGAGACCTTCCTTGAAGCAAAGAGTTGTCAGCTTGGAATAAATTCAAGAGAAGCAAGGAAGTTGCAGCCTGCCCGTCAAATCAGGCCCCTTTTGGCCTGATCTGACTTTTGACAGGATAGATCCAGCCACCAATCGATCTCGTGGATTTGGCTTCGTGTGCTTCTTGCCGGGTCAGGAGGCCACCGGGCGGTTCAAGACGACCCAAAACGGCCACCGGTAGCTGTGGAGCGCCAGTAGTCATTGGCGATCCAAGTGGATCACCGGTCATTGGCGAGACCAACGAACCAACGAAACGATTGAGGATTCTACTTGATGTGGTTGTGAATTGTTGTGAATTCCTTGCGTGCGCAGGGTGCGGCCTCAGCTGCTTTCGCACTTGAGCAGTGAGCCTTGTGGAATACCACCTCGCATGTCCAAAATATATACATCTTGTGGCAACGAGGTACGAGCATCATCGAATCCGCGGCAAGTGGATTGAGGTGGGATCATGCAGGATTGTGCGTGATTTGGTGAAAATCTCACGTAGGGTTGAACAACGTGCAGCTCGGAACTCTTCCCCACAATCTTGGGGTTTGCTGACAAGTTGGAGAGACCTTCTTTGGAGACCTTCTTTGTCTCCAGGTGAAGAGTGCGGCTCCGCCTCACAAGTTGGCCAAGGCCGCGTTTCGTCGAAATTGGATATGGCTCGTTTGCGGACGCAATCAGACAAGAGGGGGGACGAACTACAAGACAATCCTGTGTCGTCTCTCGCATTCTAAAAGTTTGGTTTCAGGATGCTGCCTCTTCTCCTTCCGCCTCTGAAGGCAGTGGCACATGATTTTTTTGACGCGATCCGAGCCTTTGCGCGTGTGGGCGGGTTGAGATTTGCTGGGCAATGGATATGACCAGCATGAGCACCATGCCAGTCTCCCAAAGGTATCCTTTTGCATCCTTTTGCTTTATTTATTGGTGGCCACCTAATCTGGGGCAAGATTTGATGTTGGTTCTGGCTTTAGGTTTTAGACTTGCTGAACAGCTGCTCTATCATTTGCCCCTGACTGAGGTCCATATCCCATGTCATCTGCTGCAGCATCACCCACAGCAAGCCCTTCAGTGTGACACTCAGAGTGGCTCAAGGAAAGGGGTAGATGGCACTGTTTGTCGTGGCTCGAATGTCAACATATGTCAACATGAAATCCGGGTTGCCGTTTGCACAAGTTCAGGGTCTTGAGCACTCTTTCGAGGGTGGAGAGTTTGTTGGTCCGCTGCGGGTTTCGAGTTTCGACCTGCCCAAGTTTTTTCTCCAGTGATAGGTGTCTTTCACTTCTACGACACAGCCACAGCACTGTCTTTTTGCTTTTCTACTATGATTTAAAGCAAGTAACAGTACAGCCATGAGAGCCCATGAAGCACTTGATTGACTTTGTATTCACTCCCAAGTCTCCTACACCACCCACAGGTGTACGCCAGATGTTTCGTTCGTGGTTTGGCTTGGAATGCCATTGACAACCGTCCAGCTGCATGATGAATCAGGCTGGAAGCTCGCAGGCTCTGACCAACGGCGGAAAAGCGGAGACGATCTCGGACGCCGTGAACCTGGAGTCCCCAGCTTGAGACCTCTGAAGAAGTGACACATGAGCATCGGATGATCACATTCGAGATGTCGGGGGCGCATTTGCATGGGGATTTTCTGCACTGGCGGCAAAGCCAAATAGCCGAGCAGCCCATTGTAGTGAACGAGACAGATGATTCATCTATTACGTTTATGGTGTTTCTGCTCCCCGAATCATGGTTGATACTCATCAGTTCCGGGACTCGGTTTCCGAAGAGACCACTCAACCGCTTGGGTTCGGTGAATCGACCGAGCCTTCTTTTCGCCCCTCCGGGACCGTTTCCGCCGGGACGACGGAGTCCGTAGCCGCGTTGGAGGCCTCGCCGCACATTATGTCTTTGACGCAAGCGTTGAAGGTTCCACTTGCCCAGCACCGAGTTGAGCAGTCGCTCTCCAGCGGAGTTCAGTTCCAATTGGTTGGGAATAAAGGTTCCACCTCGACGTCTTGCAAAGCCAATGGCTTCCATCTCAGACTCCACTCCGACCTTCAGATTGCCCAGGCGGCACCCCAAGCTCAGGAACGACCAGTCGTGGCACCGGCGAGTTTGGGGATCGGTCAAAATTTGTGGGTCCCAAAACGACACAGAGTAGAGGAGACTTGGATGATGCAACACCACTTATTTTTTTGGATTGAATTCAGAAATTGGAGACACACAGTGGATACGTTTGTGTTCAATTTGGAAATCACAAGTCAAACAACCAGTGGCGAATGGGAAGAAGATAGCAGCAGCAGAGACACACACACACACACACACTCACGCAGTGCTCCATTGGTACTGATGGACTAGCCACAGAAATAGACCAAGAAAAGTACCTTAGCTGGAACACAGCTAGTGGAACCACCAAGAAATAGACCCATAGACGCACCCAAAGACCGAAAGGTCGTCTCGTCTTTACGACTCAGGTCGTCTTGTCCCTCCCCGAGCGACGATTCCCGTCTCGTCCCTCCCCGAGCGACCCAGGCGTCCCCGCAGAATCGCAATTCCCGCGTTCTTCGAAGCTTGACGCTGGTGGGTCCCGACAAGGCTGCGCTGGAGCCCCAAAAGGCAGGGGAAGGGACGGCACGTGGTCAAAACAGTCCAGTGTCTCATTTTTCATCCGGAAGTAAGCGAAATGCAGAAGATGCCCACAGGTACTGCATGACCAGTTTCTCAGTGTCTGATCAATTGAGACATGGATTCGACTCCTACATGTTGGGAGCTGTCTATAGCAGAATTTGTGTGAGCTTAGGGTCTTTCCCCGGGTGCTTGATAAGATTTCTAGGGTCCATCAACCTCCGACCTTTTTGCATGCAAGCATGCAAGTAAAAGATAGGTGGCAGGAGGTTCGGACGAGGATTGCTAGTGAAAACTCTGCGGCTCGAAAAGGGGCACGACTTACAAACTGCCCAGTCTACCAACACCCGGGTCCAAAGCCGGAGAACTCTTGGAGGGTACAGAACTTCAGGATTTTCCGCACCTGCTGGGAGCGTCCTCGCCTCCGCCCACAGGTGATGTTGCCTGGCGCGGTGGGATCTCCTCCGGGTTTGGGCGCCACCGCCGCGGCCGCGCTGGCGGCCATGTGGCTCGGCGGATTCGGGGCTCCGACCAACATGGTGGGACCCTGGCGGTGCTGTTTTTCTCCGTTCTTTTGCGGTCGATCTCCGAGCCAACCATGAGCTGCAAGATTTTGTTTGGCACTTTGGTTGGGTTGGCAGGGTGTGGCCGGTAATGATGGCGTTTCAGTTCTCAACCATGAAGCGGGCGTGTTTCACCGCCTTCGGGACACTATGCCTGCTGCCTAACCGTGAGTTGGGAAGGTGTGAGACAATAGCTCCGCTGGCTCCAGGAAATCTTTGGGGTGTCTTTTTTCCATCCCCGTGCGCAGCAGGGGGCACAGCCACCATGTCTAAGAGATGTTGGAATTTTCAGCCGTCCGGGGGACTCGCTTGCCACCGGAGTGTTTGTTGGACACGTAACGCAAGTTTTGGGCTACGAAGTGTGATGGAGTAAGGAGAACAGCACCTTAATGTTGCTCCACGCACAAAAAGGGTTCAATGGGAGACAACTTTAAGAAGAAGCACGCCTTTCTCCTCTCCTGTTCGGAGGGGGCAACTGCAGGTTTTAGGTCGACTGATTTTTTAACAAACCCTTTCTTGAGGCCATCACATGCAATTCTGAGGTTTGCATGTTCACATGTTGGTGACTCCTCCATCGAAACATCTCAGGCGTGCCATGGGACCTCCAGGGCTGGTCGACGAAGAGGAGGCAGAGGGGAGCACGGGCGTCGGGCGCACGGGTGTCCGGGTCCTGCGGGTTCGGCACACGGAACAAGTGGATTGAAGAAGCAATGGCGACACTCCGAAGGATTGAACCCATTGGTAAGCCATGGATCCATATGGATCCCACGATCTCGGGCCCCTGAAATGCCTCAAGGCTGGGTGAGGTTGGGAGCTGCTGAGTTGGCATTTTTCTCGAAAAGGACGAAGATACAGACTGGATAATGAAGCTGCCTGACTGGTTTTTTGCAGCTTTGGCACTGTCTCAGAGGCAAACGACACCCCTCAAAAAGAAGTTCTGATGAGCTGTGCCTGATCCGACATTCCTCCAGAGGTCGAAGATGATCAGCCGGGATCCCGGAGCATGCAGGTCGGTTTGCGACCTCGACAAAAGCTCCTTGTAATCTGGGGTCCTTGTGGACCCCTAGTTTTGGGCGTTCAGATGTGTTCAGTTTAGAGGATGTTTCAGGGTTTGAGTCGTTTTCAAGCCACGAGGTTTGTGGGCTGGGAAGCCTCTGCAGCAGAGTCCAAACCTCAGATTGTCTCAACCGCGTGGAACTGCTGTCGTGCTCGATGTCCGCAAGAAGGTCTGGGTGGCCGAAAGAGTGGTCAAAGGATGCCGAAAAGGTCTTTTGGAAACACCAACAAATGCTTCGGGGGTCGAACAACCCCTTGGAACAGAGAACCCACAAAGAGGACCCACCAGACGAATAGGGAAAATTGCGTGAGTTCAGTTCGGTTGCCCTGCATTTGGGAAACTATATAAGAGGATTCATCTTAAATCAAAACGGAGAACATGCCCATCTGAACCAGCTGGATTTGGATTGCCGGAGCCAGAACAAGCCATGTGTTTCTCCGCTTCTTTCGTGCACATCAAAGAAGTGTTGTAGACACAAGACATCTTCACCATGCCCACCATGCCGCATCTCTCCTGTTCACCAATCCGGAAACATTTTTCAAGAAAACTGTGACATGGACGCTTGGTCCAAATGGTTTTTGGCAATTTTGGCCATCTTGGCCTCGCAGAACATGACCTCTCCAAGTCCGAATCAAAGCGAAGACTTCTTCCCAGGAGCTCCATGCCGGCCTCGGCGGCTTCACCAGAGGCTGTGGTTTTGGATTAAGGACGCTACTAGTAGCTCCTGGCCTTACTAGGAGCAAGAAGCTACTAGCAGCAAACGGCATTTCTACTAGGAGCAAGGACGCTACAAGTAGAGGTTGAGACTGGTTGAGACTTTCCTGATGTTCCTTCGACTGGTGTGTCTGACGGACCCATCGTTTCAGGGTTTGGTCAAGACACAAGCGCCCACAGCACCCAAATCCAACTATGTAACAAACCGCGCCCCCTCCCTCCACAGTTTCTCGAGAGTTCTTTGCAAGCATGATAGCACACAGCTGCCTACATGGGTTTGCTTTGCATTCTGACTGTCAATCAATTCTTTTTGGGACGCTGAATCGGCAGAGAACCACGACAATCGACACTAAGACAGATGGTGGGCAAGTTTTTGCGTCCCTTGGCAAGAAATGAATGGCCCTCCCTCTCTTTCCACGCTGCTGCGGCTTTGATTGCCTCTTGGTCTTCTGTTGTGCTTTGGTCATCTCCGTCGTTGCATGGTTGTTTGCGCTCTTGTTTGTCAACTGCTTTGCCCTCTCTTCCATTTCAAAGGCTCGCACCTCTGCCTGTGTCTGTTTTGTCGTACATTTGCTTTCCACCCTTACTGTAGATCTCTCCATTTTGTTATCTCCTCAGCCAGGGAACCGCAGAACAGGCGAAGATGAGCCGAGTGAAACCACAGTTGAAGAACACAGAAGGAACAAGTTTGAAGACAGGTCCGTAACTTGTGTTCTGTCGTGCAGGAGAGTTAGTTGTCACACATATATACACAGAATAAACAGATTAACACTGAGCAGAGGGCAATCATGTTTTAGTGACCAGTAGGTAACAGTGCTTCTTTTTCCGCGCACTTGCCAGATCATACGTGCAGTTCCGCAAAAAAAGATGTACCCACAGAGTATGACTCGCTACTTCCGCCTCTGGATTTTCTTCTTCAATCTATATACATGTCTCATGTCTAGTCTAGCCAGCTCCAATTGCTCGTCTTGCCATTTTTCGACGAACATGGAACTGAAACCAAGGTCTTCACCAAGGGCAAACATGGACACCAATGTTTTGACAGGTCTTCATCAAGGTTTGAACCATTTGTCTTTCAATTTTGCTTCACACCGCGAGGGTGAACTTCAGAAGCTGGGTGAGAGGACCATTCCGTGAAGAGCGGGGTGTGAAGAGGTGCGTCGGTTTGGGGGCTCCCCAAAGCAAGGACCATCTACCCCCAGTCAAAGGTGTGTTTTCGGCTCAAGACATCGCCCCTGAACATCTCAAGGTGAGACTGGCTGCGATGACCCAGTGGGGTAAGGGGTAAAGAGGGTTAACGATGATGAGTGCACTAAACCTACAGGTGAACGCACTGGCAAGAGATTTGGTGAATATCCGGTTGAGGAACAACAAGGCTTTTGCCCCTCATCATATGAACATGGTCCCAGCGAGCAGTACCTGGAAGCTTTGGTGGCCTGTTACTTAGGGTGCCGGCAGGAGAAAAAGGGGTTTGGTAGCAGCTTCCCTTCAGAATCTCATTGACATGACTCGTGACTTTCTTTCCTGATGGAATTCTGGCGGGGTAATTTCCACATACATGTACTTCGGGGTGGAAATTCCGCCACTGGAATTCCACTGCGATCCCCTGTAGGATTTTGAGGGGAAAGGGTTGTAGGTCATGTATTTATATAGGAAGTCAGGATGACTTGGTCCTGACCAAAAGAAGGTGCATTTGGTTCATTGACCATGAACCCGGAGGGTTCTGAGGGTTCTTGCTAAGTGTTCTTCTTGACCATTTGCTTCGGCCTTGGGATGACTTCTTTCTGGCTTGGTACATCAGTCCTCACAGCCAACTGATCTTTGGCTCGGTGCGTTCCGTCGCCGCACCACGAGGAGCACGGTGTTCTCCAACAGCAACGAGTTCCAGAGGCACCGCAACAACCGGAGCCCGTTTCGGAGGGATTACTGTAGCCTTGGAACCGTGGTAACCCCATGAATGGCGGGGGACTATGGAACAAACCCCATTTGCATTTGATGATTTTTGTTGTTAATCCATGTCAACACCTCTTGTTTTTTTGTGGCATCTGCTCTGAAATCATAGTATTTGTAGAATTTTTCTCAGTTCAAGCTGCTTCGCTGAACCCTCGACCGCCAAATAATCCGTTTTTTGGGAGTTCCAATTCCAGCAACTGCAAGACCGGACAATGTATCATTTTTGCGCTGAAAACGCCATTCGCTCTGCCAGGACCTTAGAGCAACTTCTGCGTCTCCAAACAGAAACTGCCGCTGGCTTATCTGGCTCGGTGGTTCAACGCCAGAGAGACTGTTTTCCGCATTGTTTGGTTTGTGGGTCAACCGGTTGTGTTTTGGACTCTCGGCATGTGTGGACGTGTTGGCAGATTTCGTTGTGTGAGGCCGATGCAAGTCCAAGCATGTAGGTATCAGATGACTGAGCATTGTGTGCGACCCTTAGACTCTGGATGAACCGGTGCTAAGCTATTGTTTGGAGGCTACACTACCAGTGACCTGTGCCACTATGCCAGCGGCCAATGTTTCATCCTGTGCAGGAGGCTTATGGACAAAGACCAACACGTTTGCATTGTGCCCCAAGCTCAGCCGAGCGACTCGATCGCCCGACACCGCCGGGCGAAACCGCCGGGTCTCCGACGGGGCTTTCAAGCCCACCGCCGACCCAGGACCTTCGCCTTCCGTTGATGAGCGGGGGTTCTCCTCGTGGCTGCAGGCGATCTGGAAGGATCCTGAAAGGTGTCATGAAGGAAAGGACCCCAAGTTTGCATCATAGATTTTGGATATCTTGTAGCCTGCCCGGTTCTTCAAAGAGAAGCAACCTTCAGTATCTGTCGATAACAAGTGTCCCAGTTCTTACATCTCAAACGGTTTCATCCACCTGTTTCGATGCTTAGTTTTGATCCGCCATCAATAGACTTGTGAGCCGGCCACTCTCCATGCCAGTTGCTGCTTGACGAGCTTAGACGTGATGCCTCAAGTAGATCGAACAAACTCGCTGGCACATGTGTCTACCAAGAAAGCACCGTGCCGCAAAAAGACAGAAGGTAGGGTCAGGGCTACGTAGGGCTCTGCTGGCAAGACCAGTTGAGAAAGGTACTGTGTCCATTTTACAACCACTTTGATCTTTGTCATTTTTTCCGAAGCTCTTCCTTGAGAAGCGGTGTGAGCTATTCTGCATCCAGTTACTAGAAGGATCTAGAAGGTAACTAGTCGCCCTGAGCTTAGTCCCTTAATTACTCAAATAAAGTAGACGCCTACCTATTTATGTAAGTAAGGAGGCAGGGCCACGGGCTTTAAAAACACAAAAACCGCCCTCACACATCCAGATGCTTATCCGAGCTTCTAGGCTCGTTGAGAGACTTCCGACAGCAGACACATGGACCAGTGGAATGTTTGATTTCGTACTGAAAGGCCGAGAATGGCCATGTTGTAGCTGGTCGATCATTGTGCCAAAACCGTTCAAGATTTGCGTGGCCAAAACCGTCTTCTCCAATGTTCGCTGTACCAAGCAGCCATTTTCTCCCAATTTATCAACAAAACCGCTTGCTGCTGGTTTTTGCTATCTGTTTCAGTGCCGGTACCACCGGCCACCAGAAGCGGCCCGAAGGAAGGGTTTTGTGCGCTCCGGGAATCCGTGAGACTCTCCGACTGAGGACACTGTATAGACTTTGAAAAGAATCAGACATTCTTCCCGCTGAAGGCGGGAAGAAGCTGCAGAAAGCACCTGCAAGAAATTCGATCTCCCTTTTTAGCTACAAAGGCGGACCTGTCCAAATGGCTGCCCACCTGGGGCATGAGCTGAGAGTGTGAAAAGAGGTGCTGGCGGACGGCTATGCAGGTGCGAGTGAATCTGCAGCAGCAGCAGCAAACACCACAGAGACGGACTGGCACTCCCAACTCGTTTCTTGCCTAGCCCTCCTCACCTCCAAACCTTTCGTCCACCTGCCTCTTCTCACGTTCTCACGTCTTCACTTGCGGCATGTAGATGTCGCATGACAGTATGATGAAAGCAAACATTTGATAGGAAGAGTCTGAAATGCCTGTGACGACTGCAGATTAGCTCTATCTGACCTAGATGGTGCATGGTTTGCAGTACATAGAGAGCATTGAAGGAATCCCGACGTACATGCATTGGCTTTGGCAACAATGCAAAGTAGGTTGACATGTCAGTGCAGTCGAGGTGTCCTGCCAGTTGCATGGTTGCTGCCGGGCAGGTATGATGAAAAAAACATTTGATAGGAAGAGTCTGACATGCTGGTGAGGACCGAAAATTAGCTCTATCTGACCTGCATGTGGCGCATAGGTTCAAGTTGTTTCTGGCCAGCAACAGAGGCAGATGTCACGTTTGGGGAGTTGTTTGTGGTCGAACTGCAGCAGCCGTGCAGAGCGATGTTCGCATGCAAAGCATTCGGCTGTATGATGAAAGCAAACATTTGATAGGAAGAGTCTGAAAGGTTTTTGACGACCGCATATTAGCTCTATCTGACCCGATCCGGAGCATGATTTGAGTTGCAGATTGTGTTTTGACGAGCCTGCTGCCTGTGCTTGTGTGACTGGCCGAGGTGTGATGAAAGCTAAGATTGATAGGAAGAGTCCGATATGCAGTTGAGGACCACGTATTAGCTCTATCTGACTTCAATGCAACGCACAATAACGCATGTTTGAACTTGGTGTTCTTGTTGACGCATGTCATGTTTGGGATTCTCTTCCCGTTGTGGTTGGTTTGTGCTCCAATTGCCATGTCCCAAGAAATGCTGATACCCTCCGTGCTGTGTGCGGGCCCAGCTTAGGTTCCTGAATCTTTGTTATACTACTCACTGCTACATTCTGTCCAGCCCTCTCTCCTGGCCCTGGAGTGAAAGCCTCTTCAGCTGCTTGAGCTTGGAATCGCTTGTGTGTTTGTTTGGGTTCGCAGGAATGCCAGCTGGTTTCGCAAGTTCGCTTTCCGCTGTTTATCTTCACGGCGACTGAGTCTGAGTTCCTGTAGCTCACTTTGAAGCGTGCGAGATCGACACCAGGCCACGGTCCATCTCTTGTCTGGGAACCTGTGGTTCTGAAATCAACATCAAACATGGCCACATGACTTGTGGGTTTTGCAGGGTCGGTGGTGGCACCTCCATCGCAGAATCGGGGAACTCCTTGAAGTTGGCCCTGCAGTATCCAAATAAATGAGCAGAGCAGAGCTCGGCCCTGGTCACATAGATCCACAGGGATGGAGGTGGGCGGGTGGACTGTCGGAACAAGTTGACGTTGCCTTGTCCTTCAGCTTTACTCCTCAAGTTCTCAAGAAATATCGGCGGTCCGTTTGGATCTCTGCGCGTTCTATTTCGTTGCCTTCATCTCAAAATGGTAACTTGGTTGCACTGGCCTCCACAGAAAGTTGCCAGAAACCATAAGGTACCAATGGAACTTCGCAAAAGCACAGCAAAGACCCCTTTTTTTGAGGTTGGCGTGAGCTCGTTTCTCGTGGTGGCCACCTCCCTGGCGATGGCAGCTCCCGCAAGCTTCCGCGGTGCCCCGCAACTGCAGCTCCAGGAGCTCCAGGAGTCGCTCCATGAGACGATGCAAGCGATTCTGCAAGGCGATGGGGGAAACCGAACCAAACAGGCACCTGGAAAACCTGTCAGGTTTGCCTGAACCTGTGAAGGGTAGCACAGGAATTGTAATGATTTTCTTTTCGGACGTCGTTTCCGCGCCACCCCTCCTTTTTGCAGGGATTTGGCGTGCGTGGATGTTCGACTTGCATTGATTGAGCCGCAAGGGTGAGCCCAATTGAACGTTTCCAGTCTCAATGGTCTACCAGGTTTACAGTCCGTGGTCTGGCCAGCATCCATTGGGTCTGATAGTAACATAATTAGATAAGCACTTTCCAGAACTACCTCCCAGTTCGGCTGTTCATCAGCCAACCTGGGAGCTGCTCAGCACAGGATAAGAGATCAGTGCGAAGCTTTGAATATTGAACCTGACCTTGAACGGGGTTTTCAAAGCCCACTGAGATGAGGCCAGGGGTCGGCCCTGAACAAGCAGCTGGACAGCATTGAGGCGAGCATTTGGCAGACCTTTCAATCCTTGCCGAAGAAGGCGGGCAACGGAGGGAGCCACCGAACTCTTCATCCACCACTTCCATTTCTGGATGAGTTTCATCAGGATGTCTCGGTGACGTTTGGCCCCACATTCCATTCACAGGATTCACCCTCTGGGTGTCCTCGTCTTTGACTGCCGAATCTCATCGGTCTCTTTTCGCCGAGGCGGGACACATCAACTCCAGGTCCGTGAGATATTTGGTGCACAACTATTTCGCCAAGGAGCATGGATGGCTCATCAAGGGCCTCGAGCCGCATGGTCACCAGGACAATGCCACTGGGTTTGGAAACGAAGACATGGTGCTGGTCCAGTGGGGGTCCACCTGGTACAGTGAGGACAAAGTCTGGGCATGGCCGGACAGTGGACCTGTTTGAAGGGCTTTGGTGACCTTTCTTTTTGGTGAAGGATGGATTCTGGAACCTATGTTGAGCATTTTCTTTAGCTCGGACCCACGGAGTCCACGTTTTCTTGCCCAGGTGAGCGAAGTGCATGAGATGACCATCCTGCAGGACAAGGCTGGATGGGAATTCAGGATGGGTCCCATGCAACATGAGGGTCCAACGGGACAGGTCTCTGAAAATGAAGGGTTGGTGGGCTGTTTGTTGTGTATTGGTATTTCTGTATTTCTCACAAATACTGTATGCTTCTGTTTTTCTGTTGGTGCGCGGAGTGAGGTAAGTCAGTTCGTGTTGAAACACTAGCATTCACTATGGATGACTTGTCATTTGGTGTGAACCAACATTTTCGAACAGAGGCCTAGTTGGTAACATGGAGGGCAGGGCCTGAGACTAGTCGTAGTGAACTTGATGAAGTCGACTTTTGACATCCATTGTCACGGAGCAACGCAACATATATAATGTCACCGTAGTATCACACCACACCAAAGAAGTTCAAAGAAAAGACGAATGGTCGTCGGTTGAGACCACCCAGCAGGTAGCAGTTCCGCGGGGCTTTCCCTGCAAGCTTCCGAGTACATCACAGCATGGTTGGCCGATAAAGGCTCCCCTGCCTTCTCGACGTGCTTGCCGGACTCTCGCCGAAAACCTCATGCTTTTGAAAAGCCCAGGCACCCTGGCTGGTGGAATCCTTGTTGGACCGGAAGGACGTGCGGATTACTGTTTGCCCGTCTACCAACGTTGTTTGATTTGGCAGCGGTGAAACGCACATAGAATTCCCTGCCTCCCTTGCCAGAACATGTGCTCCTGGTTCAAGCATGTCCCTTCAGCTCTGCTTTTTCCGGTGAGGACCGAGGTTTATCGCTCAGCGACACGGTGGCCATGATTGCTACCTTGGAGCGCCTGATCTTCGATGAGGCGCACGTGCTTTTGCAGGCGAGCGGGTTCTGGCGGGTTCTGGGCGTCTTTCGGTTTCGGTTTCTTCGGTTTCTCGATGGTTCGGTGCTTGCCACCTTGGACTGTCTGAAAAAAGGACTCCCAGAATCGGTTCATCCAGTTCATCCCCCTGGGCCCGCAAGGGCACCCTTCGGGCCTGCACTCACGTCGTCATTTGCCAACCCTGCTGACCCTGCTGACCAGGCCTCATACAGCCTCAACTCCTTGAAGATCGAAGATGAGATTGATGAGCAGAGCTTACACGAAGTTCTGATGTCCTACTTGGTGCTCTTTGAGATTGGAGAGAGGGCAGTGCTTGACAACCGGGCGCTGCATCGTGCACTGAAGGCTAAAGCCGCTCGTTCGGACGGCAACTGGCCTTTGCTGGTGGAGTTTGAACAGGATGCGGTTCACAACTTCAACTTTGCCCTGAGGCACGTGAGAAACCCTTTTCGAGACTCTCACTTGTACTCATTCCAGGATGCACAAGCCATCATTGAGGACCTCACCCGTGGCTATGGGAAATGGCAAAACACGGAGTGTCAACAGATGAAGCGAGAGCTCATGGATTTGGACCCTCATGGCATGGGCCGGGCTCCCTTAGGCAGGTTCTATTCGCAGCCAGAGAATGCAGAATATCATTTCACCGAGACACAAGACTATTTGAAGAAAGTGGGAGCCTTGGAAGAAACCATGGGAGATACCTATGTTCGCATTGCAAACTACATGACTGGGCCTTCCAATTGTATTGCTTCCTCATCATACTACTCCGTTTGTTGCTTGAACGAGTGTGAAGTGCTTATGAATGAGTTGGAGAGCAAGATTCTGGCACCATCCGCGTCTCCCGAACGCATTTTGCCTTTGGCCAGCAACTTGTCTTCGGCCACCGTGGATGCACCCAGGCGGCTGCCAGCAGTGATGCACGAGAAGCTACATGCAATTGCGGAGCGACATGGTGGAGAAGTGGCCTTGCATGGCCGTCTCTTTGCCCAATGGATGCACTATGCCTTCCCCAATGAGTGCCCTTTCCCGCACATCATCGAGGACAGGGGTGCCCCCTTTTGCAGACAGTGTTCAAACATGTTCTAATCGTTTTCTTTTAGGATACAGTCGTTGTTGCTTTGATGTGAGACTGCAGTGGTTTTCACTCTGGTGAACCAAAACCAACGTCCGGCCGTGGGTCAAGTCACCCATGGTTGATCGTCATGCTCCAACATGCTCAAACACTCGGGTCGCGCAAGCACGAGTAGGGGAAATGGTTGGACCCGGAAGCCAAGTGTCCAGCACCGGGGCACCGGGGCTAAGACACGGCAGGACGTGGCTGTGCTGGCCCCAGGCCATTGGATCGACCGGAAGATTGCGGTCTCCAAGGCGGAGCGGGAGGAGCTGGCGGTGCTGGCATCCCAAGAGGTGGTGGAAGGCAGGGCGATTTTCTGCAGCAATGGCTAGTAGGTTGGAGACCATGGCTACTAGGGTGGAGGCCATTGCCAAGCGAGTGCATGCGACTTCAAATTTTTAGTGTCTTTTTGACAACCCGTTGGCTGCGGGCTTTTGGTGATGTTGTTAGCCGCCGCTTGTTTCCTGTTCGCTGCGTGTAGACCAACTTGCTTGCGAAATCCTCCTTCAGTTCTATGTTAGTACTCGGGGTGTTGATAAAGGTGTTTCTTCAGACGTCCTGCAGGGCCAGCAGAAACCTTGGCATGGTCAGAAGAGGAGGTGCTGGCAACTGCTCCTTCGTCTCCTGGCTCATCCGGCTCATCGGGCTCCAATAGCACCTTGGCGTTAGCAAAGGGAAGGACATGGGCGACACTTTTACTGGGGTGATTCATATTACTCCCGCCAGAAGTGGTGTTTCTCCTGTGTCACAAGCTGAGCTTGGTAGCTCGAGTAATGGCCCAAGTGAAGCTTCCCATCGAACTGAGCTTGCTCAGTAGAAACAGCATCCAGCATCCAGGGGTTGACTTCTGTGAGATTGGTAAGCAAGAAAGCAAGCGCCTCTCTAGCAATCTGGACTTGGGTCAAATAGGGTCAAAACCCACACCAAGGCAGAGCAACTTTTAGACTTTCCTTTGGTTCTGTTTTGAGTCATTGAGGTCTCCGCTTCATCATGCAAGTGGCCTTGCTGTTGGGTTTGGGTCGAACAGTGCTTGGCAGCTGAGTGGCAGACAGGGACGTGGCTGGTTTTTGGTTTTCTTGACGCAGTTCTTGGCTCCGCAGGTGTCCGCAGGTTTGTTCTTGGTGTTTGCATTCTTCCAGGGCATGAGCTCTTTTCGCGAAGCGTTCGTCTCAGGGTTGTGTGAGTGACTCAGGTAGCTGGCGACTCACCGACATCTCCCCAGGCCGTTTGAGACATCCACCTTTCTTGGACGCCGAGTTGGTTGGGGTCCTGTAAAATTCGTGTAACTTGGATCGACGTTTTCGTGAGCAAGTGGAATTTGTGTAGTGCTGCTTCTTTGCGTCGCAGGCAAGCTTGGAAAGACTGACCTGCCTTTCTGAGTGGCATTTACAGCGATTGGCAGCTGGAAAAAGGAGGATGTTGTGGAGCAGACAGCTTCAATTGGACCCTGTGGGAGATCCTTCCTTTGAGATGCATGAGATGCATGGAACACGGGCGTGTCAAAATGATCAAAAGACAGAGTTGTTTGCGGGCCTCCCGATTTTTGATCCACACACTTGTTTGTTTGCAAGTGACACGGAGATGTGGCAGTCACAAACTGGGTATTTGGCAGCCACGGCCTTACCGAGCGAGTCAGTGCATCCTTGCACTATCTCCTCCTAGCCTGAACCTCAGACAGGCAAATCAGTTGGCATTCTGTTGATACGCATCCATGAAAATCTGCCTTTTTGTCCACCCCATGATTCCATGATTCAATGAAGGTTGCAACATGAACTTTCTGAATCTATTGGGTCCTAGTCTAGCAACTGTCCCAAGCATTATCAACCTTCAATTGACCTGTAACCTTGACTGCAATGGTGTGGATGGCTCAAAGCCTGGATGAATTTTTGGGTAGGTGAGCTCCTGAGGCTACTTGCTTCGGGATCGGCATCCGGCTGGTGGGGTCTGGCGTGTCCGGCGCACTGCAGTGCATCGTTCCTGCTTGTGGCCTCCGTCTTCCTCACTGGCTTTTGCACCGGTGCCTTGGCTTCCGCGTGTCTCTTCCTCTGGTTGACTCACCGGCCTTGGCTTTGGGCTGCCTCTCCTCCTTCGCGGAGCACCTCATCCACTCCTACCTCCCGCCTTGCGGCGTACTTATATGAACGGGACCGCCCTCTCCATCTTGATTGAGGCTACTCGTGCTGTTTCCCGTTCCCTGAGGGGACTTGCTGACACCTTGGACTTGGCTATTGCCCGGGCTGAAGGGTCTCGCCCTCCTCCTGCTCCTACTCCTGCCTTGTCCTCTGATACGGTTGACACCGTGGACTGGGACCTCATCACTCAGCTGGACTCCATCACAGCCCCTTCGGCTGGACCTCGACCATCTGCTGCCCCAGGCCTTTCTGGCCCTGAATACTCTGGCTACCACGAAGTCGCTCGTGCTCTGCTCCCTTCTTGAGCATTGCTTGGACTTGTGTCGTCGCCTGGCAGATACTCCGACTGAGGTTCGTGCTCGAGCTCAACGTGCTTGGGACGCCGGCCAGTGGGCAAAGGCCACTCTTGAAAACAAGGTTGCCAAGCCGAGGCCTACCCCGAAGTTGGCACTGCAAGCTACGTGCTACATCATTCTCCGAGGACCAGGCATTGAGAGGCCTGTTCGAGTGGCATCATCAGCGGAGTACTTCAAGCTCCTCCCCACGTTTGAGGGATCGGTGTCGCACTCGTTCCCTTCCTTGGCAGAAGGCCGTGTGTATTGCTTGGCTGCAGGCGTCGCTTTCCCCGACCCTGCTGATCAGTGAGGATGCCTGCCGATGTCAAATACCTGGACCAGGGAGTGTTTATGGTACAAGTCCTGGGCCTCGATTTTGCGATATTTGGTTTGGAAGGTGTCAGAGAATGTTTTGCAGTTCCAATCATGTCAAGGGCAGCTGGGACCCTCTTTGCTATACCAGTTGGCTTCTTCCCGGAGGAGGTCCTGTCTGGAGGCTCGGAGGCAGCGTCGGGGGACTTTGTAGGCCCTTCGACTGTGGTCACTGTTCCTCTGGTGTTCGAAGAGGAGGACGGTACGGAGTCTCAGACTGGGTTGGAGGCGGAAGTTTTGTTGGTCGATCTTCACAAGATGGTGATGGACTTTGTCAGGGGTTTCGACCCAGTCACAGAGGGGCCTGGGATCCAAGCCTTCTCTATAGACAACCCCGACCTGGTTCCCGACGGAAACTCCCTCATGAAGGAGGTCTACTCGTGGTTGGAGTCGGCTACAGAGGGAAGAGCCCAATACTACTCTGCAGAGGAGCCCCCGCCGCAAGCTGTGATTCCCAAACAATCTCGGCAGAAGAACAGGGCTCCATTTGGTGGGGGTTCCCCGCCGAAGAGAGTGACTACGGCGACGTTGGCCGAGCAACTAGCAGAGCTTTCCAAGAGTATCCATGCTACATCGTCCCAATTGGAGACTATGGCACAGCGGCAAGACCGGATGGAGAACCTGCTCGCATCCCCTGCAGCTCCTGCCCAGCTCCCGGTTCCAGCGCGCCAGCGCCCTTTCCAGACGGCGGCCCCAGGAAACCCCTCTCCCTTGCAGTTCATGACAGGGGTCGGCACTCCCCCCAGAGTCCGGACTTTCCAGGAGAAGGCCACAAGGACTCCCCTCCCCCCAGAGGCTCCGGAGATACCCGAGGACGAGCCAATCGCCCTTCCATCAGATCCCGACTTGTGGCTGCGACTGCTCCTACTGGCAATCAACCTATGGATGTGACTTCGGCCATCTTTCAGCAGTCCCAGGCCCTTTCGACCCTGGTGGCACACTTGGTAAACCAGGATGGTTTGGCAGATTTCCCTGGGACTGGCAGTTCATCAGCCATCTCCCTGAAGGGGTCGGCCAAGAGAGACAAGTTGATGATGGACCTGGCTATGAGGAAAGGCGATTTCTTCCTGAAAGTGTCTCAGAACGCCTTCCGTCGCCTGAAGCCTACGGAGAAGATGCCAAGGACTCTGGAGGAATTTGCTGGCAGACCGATCTTTGCAAAGTATGCGGAGAGGAGTGGCGGCTTCTCTGGCCAGAGAGATTTTGGGCTGATGATGTGGCTTCTATGTCAAATAGGAGATGCTATGCTGAATGGGGACAACAAGGGAGCCCAGGAGTTGCTTGCTCTGACCATGGTGACGATCGAGCAGGCGGCCCAAGACAATGGCAAGTGGGAGGTTGCGTGGATCCTTTCGCTCCAGGAGGATCCTCCGCCTGGCCTCTTCATGGCAAGGCCAGCCTCGACGAACCCGAGGCTCAGGGCATTCTCTCCACTATGCCCGCCAGAATGGGCGGCAACTGCGTTGTCCTTTGTCAAGGAGGTGGATATCATCAGCACTCGGCGCCAGGAGGCTCTTCCATCGAAGAAGACTCAGAAGCAAGGGGAGGAGACCGACAATCCCAAGAAGAAGCCGCAGAGGTATCCAAAGAAGCCAAAACAAGGGGGGGAGCAGACCTCGAACTAGATGAAGGGCTCGAACATGGGTCCATCTCTTCTTCAAGCACTCCCCTCTGGGCTGAGGATTCCTACGACATGCACCACGATGCCTACCATAATATCCCCTGTTCCGGAAGCGAAGACTTCTGCCGGGATGATGGCACTCTTGCAGATGATGCAGGGCCCTTTGATGAACCTGCGTCGGAGCCTTCCCCCACCTCCAGGCAGTGGGTCAGGCTACAGACCTTTTCTTTTCCTAGATGGGCATCTTCTCTATGCTCAGAAGTTTTGAGGTCGAAGACATCCTTCGGGATTTTTCTCCGTACTACTCTCACGGTTCAAAGATTGCTTCCAAGTACATCTTCAAGTGCACTTTTTCCTCTACCAGTTCCAAAGCTTGGCATCTTCCTTCCGAGGAGGTGTGGCTCCAGGCAGAGAAGGAGACTTATGGTTGATCGAGCCTTCCATGTCTGCATCATGGCCTTGAACTTTTGGCACGCTGACTTCAAGCACATTCCTGTGGAGTCAATTGCCAAGGAGCCTTCACCAGCCCAAGCACAGGCACTGGTCAATTTGAAGAGGATGCTAAGGGCATTCGGTAGCTCCTCGGAAGAGTTTTCTGTTCCAAAGAGCGGCCGTAGATTGACATCTTTGATTGCGCTCCTCTCTGACCTTTCTGAGTTTGCTACATGGAGAGGCATTGGAGGCAGCGCCTACTCTCGATCCTTCCCAGGAGCATCAGACATCAACAAGAAGGAGACCTACGTGCCTAGGAATCTTTCGCGGGCGGAGGAGCTTCGTCCATACCGTGCTCTTGACCCCGATAGGCTGGTGCTGTCAGGGAAGGCCTCATGGGACCCAGACAGGTTCCTTTCGGACATGCTTTGGATGGCTTTTCAAGAGCCAAATTCACTTCTTTGGACGGCGTCGGAGAGATCTTCGCTGGTGCCGGACTTAGCCAAAGAATCATATGAATCGGTGAAGGACCTTGCACTACTTTGGGACATCAATGGTCTGCTACATCTGGAGGAGGCCAGGGAGGAGGATGACCCTACACTTGCAATGAGGTTCTTCAACTGCTACAAGAATGAGACGACTGACCGCATGATTGGAGACCGGAGGTCAAGAAACTATGTGGAAGGTCGCCTAGCCGGGGTTTCATCCGGTTTACCGTCAGCTCAATGCCTCTTTGACCTTGAAGTTGAGCTCCCAGTACAACGCATTTCAATATGCGCCTCGGACAGAAAAGACTTCTACCACCAGCTTGGAGTTCCTGCTTCTCGGGCGAAGACAAATCGACTCTATCCTCCACTTCGCATCTCCGACCTCAAGGGCACCAAAGCTTTCCAGGCATGGGCCCTTAAGCGACTTGGAGGGAACCGCTATGATCGGGCTCTGGAAGGGGATTTCCTAGCCTTTGGAGGAAAGAAGCTCAAGAAGGCAGTTGAGGGAGGACTGGTCAACGCTTGTTTTGCGAGCATTCCTCAAGGGGATCACCTTGGGGTAGAATTTGCAACAGAAAGCCACACAAACTTCCTATATCATCGAGGTCTCCTGACTGCTGAATCAGAGCTCAGAGCGGACTGCCCCTTCTATGGCTCGAACCTTGCCACGGGCCTTGTCATTGATGACTACTATGCGGTCTCGGTTGAGGAGAGCAGCTGCCCTAAGTGGGATCCTAGCCAAGCATGGACTGGAGGGTCACAGGCGGCACAATTGCTTCAGAAGGCGACCGCTGCGTACGAGAAGGCTGGACTTCTGGGATCTCCTGCCAAGGACATTCTTGATGAACAAAAAAAGGCCTGCATCATGGGCGCTGAGATTGATGGTAGCCAGGTTGCTCGAGAGAATGGGGTGGTCACTGTCGGTGCTCCTGTTCACAAGCGTCTTGCTCTTGCCTATGTTTCTCTTACCTTGGCGAAGATGAGGTACACTACTGATGCTCTCCACGCTTGTTTGGTGGGTGGATGGGTGAATGCCGTGCTATACAGGAGACCGGCAATGTCACTTCTTCAGGAGGTCTACAAGATCCCACTGTCGGAAGTGTCTCAGGACTCGCCGAAGGTGACCCGGTTGTCAAGAGGAATGGCGCAGGAGCTCATCATGTTGTCCGTGCTCTGCCCTTTCTTCGCTACTGACATTTCCACACATATTCAGGAGCGGTGCTATGCCACTGACTCGTCAGACGCGAAGGGAGCTGTGGTCTCATGTGAGGCGCCTTTGAATGTTGCTAGGGCCATGGTGCGTACTGGCAGGAAGAAGACGACCTACACGAGGATGCTGGCAAGGCATGAAGCTGTTCTCAAAAAGATTGATGCTGATTTTGAGGAGACCTACGTATCGAGTGAGGAGTTCGCAGAGGACTCCTTCATTGCTCCCGACCGACCAAGGGCCTTTCGCTTTCACTTCATTGAGGTTTGTGGAGGTTCTGGAAAGGTCACGAAATACGTTGACGAACTTGGCTGGGTAGTTGGACCTGTGCTGGACCTTGATCGATCTCCAGCTTACGATTTTTCAGCTCTGCGCTTGCTTCAATGGATTTACTTCATGGTGGAGGATGGCAGGCTGGATTCATTTATGGCGGAACCTCCTTGCACTACGTTCAGTCCGGCACAACACCCGGCACCCAGATCGTATCAAAAGCCCAGAGGCTATCATCCTACCGATCCGAAGACCTTGCGCGGCACTACTCTTGCTTTGAGGTCGTTAGCTCTTCTACAGCTCGCCGCCGACTTGAACACCCCTGGGCTGCTTGAGCAACCTAGAAGGTCAAAGATGAGGAGGCTGTCAGAATGGCAAACGCTGTTGCTGCTTGGCCGTGCAGAGGAGACATGGACCGCTAGCTGCATGTGGGGATCCCCCCACCAGAAGGAGTTCATCTTCCTGACAGTCCATATGGAGACAAGGGCTTTGCACAGAAAGTGTGATCAGTCTCATTCACACATCCGGATTGAAGGCAAGTGGATCAAGCCTTCAGCCACTTATACTGATCCACTGGCCTATGGCATTGCTACTTGCTTTGACAAAGCCCTCCGCGCAAAGCTCAGGCGTCTTCAGCTTCAGGAGCCCAAGACTCTTGGCCTGGAAGGTCTCTTGTGCAATGAAGTCATACTATCCCGCAAATGGCAGGTCGACAAAGTCTGGAGGTGGAAGAAGCCCTTGCACATAAACATCCAGGAGGCCTTGGCGGCAGAGAGGCTTTTCATTCAGGAGGCGAGAATGCACCCCCGGAGTCGCTTTGTCATTGTCATGGACTCGAATGTTGCACTCTCGTCGCTGGTTAAAGGGAGGTCTCCTTCGCATGGCCTTCGGAAAGCTTTGAGGAGGGCTGGATCCACGTTGGTGGCAGGGTGTCTATACCCATCATTTCATTTTGGCCCTACCAGGATTCTTCCTGCTGACCATCCTACAAGGGATCATGAGATGCCAGAGCCTGTCAGAACGTTCATCGATGAAGAGACCGGCTTGCAGGAGTTGCTGGCGCTGTCAAAGACGAATGGACTTCGAAGGTTTGCTGCCAACTGGCTTCGATTGGTCTTGCTTCTGATCGGAGGAATCCCTCCCTGGTTTGGCTCATCAGAAAGCTGGCGCTATGGGCATGTTGCTTACAAACACTTTCCCTTTGGAAGCACTCGGCCTATCCATCCCCAGATCATGGACTTCGACAGCTCAATGGGCTATCCTGGCGAAGGACCTCCGGTCATTCCCCAATGCCTGGCAGTTGGGCTCGTGCCTCCATCTCGTCGGTACTCCTGGATTTTAGCTCAGGCTTGGACCTTGTGGACTTTCAGCCTCTTGCGACTCGGCTCGGTCTGTGTCAATGGATTTCTTGGATTTTGGTTCGCTGGGCTCCTCTGTCTCGCATGTGGACTTTTCTGCTTGGACTTCCCTGGCGGTGCGATCAAGAGAAGGCCGGTCCTTGCCGGTCGGCCCGCTCTTCCTCGTACATCTTCTCTGTGCATCAGGCAAGAGCAGCTGGAAGGGGAGACCTCGAGCTTCCCCAGGGGAGACCTGTCCTCCCTGAGACACAGAAGCAACGAGACAAGCTCCTTGGCTATTTTTCAGACTGGCTTAGGGGCCATGGATTTGAGCTGGAAGAAATTTTGATGACAGCCACACCTGACCTCGAGACCTTGAACACGTTGGTTGAAAGATACGGGCGTGAGCTCTACAGGTCAGGACGTCCATATGGACATTATTCCGAGACGCTCAATGCGATCTCGGGAAAGAGACCACGGGTGAGAAGACACCTTCAGCCCGCGTGGGACCTTGCCTACGCATGGCTGCGCCAGGAACCGCCGGTTCACCATCTGGCGCTTCCCTGGCAGGCGCTGCTGGCGCTCATTACCACGTCATGGACGTGGGGCTGGAGCAAAGTGACAGGCGTCATCGCCCTTTCGTGGGGCGGTATCACCCGCATCGGAGAGGTGCTATCAGCGTGCAGGCGGGATCTAATCCTCCCAGCTGATGTTGAATGGTCCATCAACTATGCCCTCCTGCAGATCGCTGAACCCAAGACGCGATATAGAAGTGCAAGACATCAAATTGCACGGCTCGATCAGCCGCAGCTTCTGAAGGTCATCGAAGTGGCGTTTGGTGGCCTGTTACCTGAGCAGCGGTTGTGGCCCGCCTCGGGCCAAACAATGAGGCATCGGTTCCAAAAGCTCCTTCAAGCAAACAGGCTGGATACTTTACCAGAGGGCATCAGTCGAGGCATCGACCTCGGATCGCTTCGTGCAGGAGGGGCTTCTTGGCTGTTGATGAGTTCGGAAAATTCCGAGCTCACTAGAAGAAGGGGCAGATGGATCACCTCCAAGGTCATGGAGGTGTATGTTGAGGAGGCATGGTCCGTGCAGTTTCTGCCCCGCCTACCGTCAGAAGTCAAGAAATTGATTTGGAATGGTGCCCAGATTTTTCCTTGGGCTCTGGATCTTGTTGTGGCTTGGCACGGCGCCAAGATCCCGGAGTCAGCATGGCCTTGTTTGTTCCTCCAGGCCTCGAAAGACTTTGAGTTGAACCACCTGGGTGAGAAGAAGTTGGGTGGTGAAGCCGCTGCCGCGGCTGTGTGTGCAGCTCCAAAAGAACCGTGAGAGAAACACCTGCTTGAAAGGTTGACCTGTAACCTTGACTGCAATGGTGTGGATGGCTCAAAGCCTCCCACCTCACCCGCCCTCGAGGCCGGAGGAACCTCTCCAAGCCGCTGCCGCGGCTGTGTGTGTGTGTGTGTGTGTGTTCCAAAAGAACCGTGAGAGAAACACCTGCTTGAAAGGTTATATAATTGGTTGTACATCCAAATCTATGTCCAACTCCATGCCCAAACCTATGGCTTGCTGAAAGACTCCAAGGTTCATTTTCCGTGTGTTCACTGCAATGTTCCGACTTGGCCATATCATGGCAGGCATGTGAAACTGCATATGACTCACCTGTCTCTGCCACACACTGAGGTCAGCCATGTTGTCTCGGGTTTTGATGCGAGGAACCCGCCGTTGCGATCTGAGAGATCTGGCTTTGTGCAAGGAGGATGATGTGGTCTTGAAATCCATACCCCCCGCTTGAACACTGTCGGTTTTCGGCTTTCACCGAACTGGTACTTGGTCCGATTGCCATGGTGGAACTTCCGACCCAAACGCGTTCACACCTGCACGGAACCAGCCCAAGCAACGGCCCAGGCGCGGGCATTGTCGGCCTTGGCGAGAACAGGGCAGTGATGTGGGCATCCCAGCGTAAAGGTCTGGTTTCCGTGAACTTGGCGCTCTTTAAGGCCGCGCCAATGGATGGCTGCCGTGGCTGAGAACTGAGAATTGCTTCCTTTGGCGGACTTCCCCCCTCCGTCTCCCTCTCCCTCTCCCGCTCTCCCGCTCTCTCTTGCTCTCTCGCTCTCTCTGTGGGACATGCCAAAATGTTTCTTTTTGGTGAACTGGATTCGGGATCCACACCCATGTGATGGACAGAGTCAGGATCTGGATCGGCAAAGCTGTTCTTGGTGAACTAGCACATCTTCCGTCCGCAGGTAGTCCACCCCCGAACACATCGAGGGAGCCACGACCGGACGAAGCGCGCCAGCCTGCTCGATGCCGCAGTTGAGGCACGAAGCTTTGGATCCGGTGGTGACCCGCGAGGCCACCTGAACCCGGATGGAACGAGGCGCGGTCCCCCACCGTGGTCCCCGAGCCGAAGACAGAGCCCAAGCTGTGCTGGAAGGGCAGATGCGAATGGGAAGCGGGGGTGCCACACGTGCGAGGCCAGAGCCCGAAGATGCTGAGGACTCCAGATGCAAGCAGAGAAGAAGACGATATCCGATATCCAAGACATAAACCAGGGTATCCAAACTAGCAAAGTAAAACAAAGTTTAGCTGCTATGAGTCAAGTAAACATCTCAGCTACTTCAATTTCCAACGTCTCACTGGTGCGGCACCCGGTTCAGTGCCGCCTGGGTGTGCTACGGTTCTCACCGGGCACCCAAGTCCGGACCTTCGTGCCCGAAGTGACCAGGATTACCATGACCCCGATCCCATGGACCATTCTCCTCGGATGAAGTTGGTCAAGGAGCCGCATGGAGAACGAGAAGATCTTGTATTTGTAGCGAATTTGAATGCTTCGATGATGCTTCGATATGGTGTTTTCATGAGCTTTCCATGTCTGGACGATTCATGCTGTGCTCGACCTGGAAAAGATATACTTGAAGCATACTCATCGCGAGAATTTGCGGGGGCAATGCATGGCGATGGTGCTTGGTTGACCTCTTGCTTGGTGCTCTAACATTGCAGGAGCGGGGTCAGACCTTTGTTGCGGGCCTAGACGTTGGAGCCGTGGGTTTGTTTAAGCTTGAACCAGGAGGGACATTTTTTTGGTTTTTGTAAGGATGGCTGACCATTCTTGTTCTTTCGGCCTCCTTGGTGTTAGGTCGTCTCACAAGATCCGCCCAAGAACATCGCAGAGCTCTACCAAACCCATGAGGCCGGCCATGTTGGTATGGTTAGTTTTTGCGGGCAAACATGACAAGTGTCATGAAGAAACTTGTTTGATCAGGGAACCAAATGCGGAGACAAAAGTGAGAAGAGAAAGAGGCTTGAGCGCCGATCTTCCTTCAGGAGCATGTCCCTTTCTATCCTCGTGGCCGCTTGATCTTGAAGGGAAACTACAAGTTGACCATGAAGGCGGTGGAGCATTGGAGCACGTTACTCACACTTGTACTGTTTCGGCTGGCAGGATGATGCGTGTGTGTTTTATGGCACCATGACGCCAGGCTGAGTATCTATTCTTCTACATTCCGACAACCATTATCCTGGGCCTGTGCATTCCCGCCGGGACCTGTGAACAACATAAGATGCAGTCTTTTCAAGAATTGGGCAAGACATGGAGTATCAGGAAGCGCCTCTACAGGCAACGAACCTGAAACCAGAGGAACCCAGAGCAACCTGCACAAGAGGCAGGGTCTTCTCAGATGAAGACCCACTGCTTGGCCACGGCGTAGCTGGTTGGAGAACCGTGTTTTTTAGTGTGGGTCAGTCGATTCAGTACCGGACTGTCATGCTCCAGTTCTTCGTCAATTTTTCCTTGGGTCAGCGCCGCTCCGCCACTTGGTCGATGACGCGCTGCTTTGCGTCCTTCACAAGGCCTTCACAACCATCTACGCTTTGGAGGAGGCTGTGGCTTCGACGATGACGATCAAGGTGCGTGCGGGTTGGGCCCAAGAGAGTCGACCTTCGGGAGGTCCTCAAATGAAATTTCCATGATCTACTACCATGATTCATGAATAGATGTCAATAAATTGAACGGGGATTCCTACTTGGAGGTCGTGTCAAGACGTCATGCAGCTCTCTTGAGGTCAGTCCTTTTTTGCTCTTGACGTTTCTTTTCCGTATAACGAATGGACAGGGGTCCTCCCGCACCGCAAAGAATGTTCGTCAATGTCCTTCACACCCGGGCCCATTCCCTCGCCACACGATATGTGCTTTTAGCCTTGAAGCTTTTGATGTGCAGGTGACCGGAAGACAATGGTATTGGGTCTATGAAGTTGAGTCCCCCACCGACGATGGCCACTTGAATGACGCAATCGTTGTGCGGCATCGTCGTTGGTGGCTTGCAGATGGAGAAGTCCCATCGCCGGCGTGGATTATAGTCGAATGTTCCACCAGGGTTCCAGACTTGCTGTTGTTTTGGGAGAAACTATAGATTGCAGTGGGGAATTGACCGTTTGACACTACACATCTCGAGGAACACGATTCCTCAAACGTGAATATCAATGAACCCAAGATGATTGAATTTTGCTGAGACTTAGGTGATGACGACGATGAATGAGGGCATCTTTGAGGATCTTCCCAATACCTCGTTCCAGAATAGCAATGATGAATTGGACTATCAAGCGAAACAAGGATTGTTATGTCACGAGTCACGAGGTATTTTTGAAATCAAGACGCAATTGATCATTGAAAAATGGATGCCCAAAACAGAATTATAACAAAAATAATACATTTTTATATTTATACATAGGAATATTAGGATTAATTTTTCTATTCTTCTTATATAATAGAATCTAATTATATAACAAATTAATTTGAATAAAAAAAAAAATATAATTTATTAATGAATTTGGTATAATACGATTATATATTACTTAATAATAAAATAGAATATAAATTAATATCTTAATAAGTGTATTTGTTCGTAGTTTATTTAAGGTTGTATGTTTGGGTCCGTAGCTTTAGATGCCGCGGGCGGGAACTTTGGTACGCTGGTATTAGGTTTGCTTCGAGAGCTGATTTTTTTTGAAGATTGGACTTTTAATTTCGTTGGGTGCGATTACCTTTTTTATTTACTGGAACCTTTTGAGGGTTGGAGCTCTGTTATTTTGGCTTATTTGTGGACTTTTGGTAGGCTCGGTGGTTGATTTGATTGTTGTGCTTCGGTTGCGTTGGCGACAGTGGGTGGCCTTCGCCCTGCCGGCCTTTATATAGAGTAGTGCATGATTGAGGGACTCTAGATTTCCTTGGATAGTGTTAGTACCGAGCTTAGAGAACTTCGTGCTTTGGTCTCGGATTTTTCGAGCCGCTTTCGAGCCTTAGAGTTGAAATTAGAAGGTTATAGTGATATATCCAGTGTGCTTGGCAATTTGGCCGATTTGAGCGTCCCGGCCGGATCCTTAGTTCGACCATCGGCCGTACCTCGCTTGTTTTCTGGGAATTAGCCTTCGGTTCCGCTGGAGGGAGTCCCTTCGGTCTCACCGGAGGAAGAGAGTGAGCGGGGTTTAATCGTGGGAGGAAAGAGAGAGGATCTGCAAAGACATTGGTTTTTTCCTTCGTCGCTCCTTGGGCACTGATTTTCGAGGGTCATATTATTTGTAGGGACTTTAGTGGGGTCATCTACGATCCACCGCTGGTAGTGGACAGGTTTGGGACTGTCAAGTTCCTTTGCCTGCCTCACGGTGAAACTGGAAGTTCAGGCTTTGTAGGACTGCCATCGAAGTGAGAGGTCGTGGCCACCTTGCGAGCCGGTGATTTCGTGATCCCCGATGTCATTCCCACCAGCGCCAGCTCCGGCGCCTGAGGGGGAAGTTTCGGAAGATCTGGAAGAGATTGCAGAGCGAACCCAAGAGGCTCATTTTGTCCACCTTGGTGGGCGCACGAATAGGAATTACGAGGTTGGGCGCATTTGTTTGCCCGACGGATTCAATTTTTCTTCAATTATCATTGTTGGAATTCACGGCGGCCAATTTTTGGTTACCATTCCCCTTGAGAGTTGGAGCCGAAAAGTTTCAGAGAGGGCCTTACATCCGAAATCCTTGAGCAAGCCAATTCAATGTTCAGTTCTTGCATGCCACCCTGGGAGTCGAGACGAACCCTCCGGGGAACAGCGTGTTTGGGTTGGTCTTCTGAACAAAGATTTGGAAGATCATATAGAGTTCGATTTTCCTTCAGAAGCACAGCCGGAATATCCTTTCCTTTCCGAGGAGGAGGAAATCTCCCTCCCCTTCGCCGACAGTCAAGTAGAGCTCTCTGGAGAGCGGTTTCAGTTCTACACTGCAGAAAGTGGCGAATGGTCGGAGGAAGCTTCGTCCGATCAGCGATGGAGCAAGCTCGAATCTGGTCTAGCCGAAATGCAAAAGAGTCTGAATGCTCTCCTCTCCATCCAGGGCGCTTCTCGCCCGGTCGATCCTCCAGCCGCTCCGAAGCGCGCTCTTCTCAAAACTACAGAGCGTGTGAAAAAGGTGAACTTTGGAAGTCTGGATGGCTTAGTTGTCGATGCAGCTCTTAATGCAGGCATCCCGCCAGAGCATCTCGCGGAGATGGCCAGTGTGGTAGGAAAGGGCCCAAGAAGACTGGGCGACCTACCTCGAAACAGCGTTACTCGGCCGGAAACTCCTTTGTCAGAGACCGAAGACGAGGAATCGGAGGAGGAGGCTTCAGCCGGAGGAGATGGATCTCGTCCAGGCTCCTCATTAGATGCGTCGGTGGCGAAAGCGATTGTGAAGTTGACGAAAGTCTGCAGCCATCTAGCTCACTATCACAGCCGAAAGAAGAGAGGCCCCTTGGATCTGCTTTTGGAAGGGGGTTCAGGGGGAGGAGGAGACGGAGACGGTGCTGGTTTAGTAGCCTCGAGAAAAGGGGCAGCCCTGAAGCTATTGAAGAAGAGACTCGTGGAAAACCCGTCCCTGATCTACAAGAACATCGAGGGCAACATGCAGGCCGACTATTTGGCTCGACCTGTGCGACTAGGAGAAACCGGCAGCCACACCACGGCACGTGGATGGTTAGAGAGCCGCTCCCGCATCCAGAATTTCCCCAATCATGTGAGATGGAGCTGGACTGTGGCCGGGATTTGGAACTGCTTCATTCGAGGCGAGCCCGAGCAGGCCCTTGCCAGATGCGCCCTAGCCATCGCAGCCGTAGATCAGAGCTCGATCGATGCCGGGTCGTGGGTGCTATCTTAGATCGCCCTGCTGGAGCCACCGGCTCCCTTCCAGTCGTTTTCGTACCACACCTCTCCGAGCTCGCAGGAGAGCCAACACACAGCTTTGTTAGATGCTTCATGGGTCGAGGTCTACCTTCATCATGTGAAAGAGCAAGACGCGTATCTGGAGGCAAAGAAGAGGCTTGGTGGGCGAGGAGGAAGGCGAGAGGAGAACGAAAGAAAGAAGGAGGAGAAAGGTGGAGGGAAAGGAAGAGGAGGAAAAGCGGGAGCCAAGGCCGGAGCGAAGTTAAAGGCTAGCGGCTCCGGAGAGGGAGAGTCAAAGTGAGCACCAGAGTTTTCTGTGAGAAGCCATCTCCTGCCCCGACTTCTTATGGCAATTCTTTCGATAGGGGGCGGGAACCTACAGATTGTCGAATTCATGTGCCAGGGACTCGTGCCAGCTTCTATTTGGGGCGCAAGTTTGTGAATGCTGGACTGCGGCACCTTTTGAATGGACGATGCCGGTTGAGTCGCTTTGCACGCTCTGCGATAGGCCTCAAACGCAGGCCAGAGTTGGCCAGGACAGAGGAGTTCTATGGTGGCTTCCCTGTGCCTATTCCCTTCGTTGAGGTGCTTTTCAAGAGGGAAGAGCCTGGTTAGGAGGGAGCAGTTTCCTTGAGAGTGGGCGGTGAACTTAGTTGTCATTTGTTTGAACTATCTTTGCCTTGGCCGTCCTTCTCGCTGCCCTGCTCACTTGTTTGCTGGAACCCCCCTGACGGGGAGACAATGGAGAATTGTTCGCCACTTCGAGCGCCTCTTGAACGCTTGGATTGACCACGAGGAGATTGGCCCGGAGACCATGGGGCGATCCGCCCCGAAAATTGAGAGCTTGGAAGAAGCCATCAAAGATCTCGAGAACTGTGCCTTGAGAATTTCCGAGAAGGATGAGGCTGAGTACCGGCGAGTCATCGCCGGAGAGATGGAAGGAGGTGGAAGACAACATCTTGCAGGCCGAGTTGTCGGGGAGACCGAGCATGCCTCTTATAACACTTTCAAACGTTTGGAGCCAGACCGGCTGCAGTTTGTTGGCCTTCCGCTCTTTGATCCAATTCCCTATTTAGATGAAGAGTCAGTCTACATCTACCAACATCCTCTAGAAGCCCGTGCTCCTGGATCTTCCTGGGATGATCCCATCCTTATCGTCAAACTTCACTGCCCTTTGGAGGAGAAAATGAAACTGTTTGAGCTGCTTGACACTAGCCAGAGGCTGGCGCTTTTTGCCCCCTCGGAGGTGGATGAGCGCTTTGCTTCGGGGATGTTTGCGGTTGTCAAATTAGCCACTAGAAATCGCCTGATCATGGACTCGCGGCCTGGCAACTTGCTTGAGCAGCCGTTGAAGAGGTTTGTCCAGTCGCTCGGCAGCTGTGAGACTTTAAGTCGGCTGTACCTCCCGGAAGGGTTCTAGCTCAGACTGTCAGGTTCCGATCTTCGCGACTGCTATCACTTATTCCAGGTGAATCGAGAAAGAGCTCGGCGGAAGGTTCTCTGCAGTGGCATAGAACCTCAGAGACTGAAGCACCTTTCCTGCTTTCGGGAGGAGCTCCTTAGCGAAAAGAAGATTTTTGGTGCTCTCAATACCCTGGCTATGGGAGATGCTCAAGCTGTGTCTTTTGCTCAAACCAGCCACTTGAGTTTGGCTTTGCGGTGGGAAGCAGCAGCGCCTAGCAATCTGGTCACTCTAAACGGGCCCGTCCCCCGCGGGGCGGACTTTGTTGGAATCATCATTGATGACTATATTGCTGGCAGCATTCAGCCTGTTGGGGCGCCTCTTCCATCCCATGGGTACGTCCTCAGAGAACGCATGGAAAAGAAGTACTCTGAAGTCGATCTCATCTCGCACCGGGAGAAGGGTTTTTTCGGATGAAGTTTGCTCTAGCTTCTGGGGTTATGAGAGGCAGTCTGAAACGAGCTATTCCTATCCAGGGAATATTGTTGAGGGTCCTGCAACTTGGCTATGCTTTAGTTGACCTGCTGCAGACCTTGGGAGGCAGCATTTTGTCTTTGTTGTTTTTTCGTAGGCGCATGCTTTGTTTGATGGACCTCCTTTTGCAAATGTGTGTAGGAAGGGGAAAGAATGAGATTGTGCAGCTAAGTGGTGCCCTAAAGAGTGGGCTTTATAGTTTAGCCCTTCTTTTGCCGCTCGCTTGCACGGACCTTCGGTGCTCACCTCGAGCAAGATTGTTTGCTACCGATGCATCTAACTGGGGGGAGGCCTCTGTGGTCGCTTCTGTCCCTCTTCGAGTGAGCGCCGAGCTTCTTCGACATACCCTGAGAAAGAGCAGCTGGACCCGCCTTTTGCCTCCTGGATTAGCTTGGGAAAGAGCGTGTGGAGTCTTGCCGGAAGAACTCGA